TGTATAGATTGTGGATATGAATACCAATATGGTGCTACCTTTGTTTGGTCGAAGTTTCTTTTAGCCCTATAGTGTTGGTTTGGCCTTGTTTTCTCAACTAGGTCGGAGAGTCAGGGAGATCTTGTGGGATGTACCTAGTCCTGTGTCCTCTGCCATAGTATTCGTGATTTTCAGCTTCGAACCATTGACTTGGTACATTCTCAAACATTTCGCCCGCATCGTAATCGGTATTGTCAGTGAGAGGCTCCATTGTTAGACCAGAGTTACAACTTATCAAATTTGAAGTGCCTTGAATTCAGAATCAGTAATTTTTCGTATATAAGCAGAATTTCGAGACTACCAGTAAATCAGTTGACACTATGTGAAACGTCAGCTCTACTCATCATTGTGGGAAACTTCTACTACCAGTCCTTCATCACCTTAAAGGAGGTAGGGTGACTACATCTTAGAATCAGTAAGTCGTTGGCTTCTTATACTCGGTAATATTCCTATCTTCATTCCATAAGTATGCTTAGACTAGTAGTTAAGAGTTAAAAGATTGCTTTAGGAAAACTCCTTTCTTAAGAGTTTCCTCATAGCGAATGACTTCCACATCCAAAAAATGTGAATTACCGTTCTCTTCCGCATTGAAGGTAAATTTGCCTTTTTCTTTTCCATGCGACTAGATTGCGAAGTAGTCGTCTAAATATAGCATAATTATTGCTAGTTGCTGAGTTGACATTTTGAAATTCCTCCCTAACTTGTCGGTATAACGAACAGCGAAGGTGGTAGTGGTGAGTCTATAGGTAGACCAAATATTTGCTCATATATGCGGCTGTTGAACGTAAAATTGTTAAGTTGCATAATCGGATTAGAAGCCATTTACGGATTCGCCCAGTCTCCAGGATGCCATCTTCTTTTCCAAGATTAACAGTAGTGTCGTGAGTGTCTTTTCTCCTGTGATATAGTGTACATGGACTGTACATCAAAGCTCACCTACAAAGACTTATTTATCGTTTTTTTCCAAATATCTGCCTAGTTTACTAATTAAAAAGTTTTCAATCGCGAAAAAAATGTTTAGCAAAACCATTTATTCCTCATATTACATGCAAGCTTAGACACTTAAACCAGGAATCATAATGTGCTTATTCTTAGAAACTACCTATCCCAATACCTACGCCTATATTTTATACACCTTACAAAAATTATGTTTCTGGAATGCAGCATTTAGAATTTTTGCATATATTTGGCCTTTGTGCTTTGGAAGGTTATTTCTAAAGGAATGTTGTCTCGTTTTTTCTCACATGATTGGCTTTTCACGATTTCTTAGGCTATTTACAATAATTTCTTATTTGTAAAAAGAGGTTGAAATGTAGTCGTAATTTATTAAAATAAACGAAATTCCTATCAGAGGCTACGAATGTGTTTATTAATCGAAGGCTGGAAGTAAAACCAAATTTAATAACTAAGAAGAAAGCTAATCTATGGCATCCCTGAGAATTATCCTATTTGTTTTATATTCTAATGAACCATGAAACAAATAAACTGAAGCGGTTAAAAAGTTGCACTAGTTAAAATCGAGATCAGCAATTTGTAAAGGTTGGTTTGCAAATTCTTGACTATATAGCATCAGATGAAGTGAACAGATGGCTCTTTATTACCAATTCACTGGCCTAGTATTCGTCTAGTAAAACTACCTAATCAAGGGCTAAAATACTAAAAACGAATCGTAAAATCAGATCTAATCCTTGATCATTTAAAATGAATTAGACGGTAAGAAATAGGTACCACGTTAATTAGATGGAAAAGAAATTTTTTCAGCAGTCGAAAGTTTGCAATTCATTTATGCTAGGAAATGAGAATTAAACTATTTTTGAACTACTATTTCATTTAAGTAGAAATATTATAGTTATTAGATAGGGATGGAACTTCAGAACAAATCTTAAGTGGTCTCTATTCCAAGAAGCCAGTGAGTATTTGGTAATTTAATTGAGAACTATCAAATCTGCGCATTTTAAATACCACTGTTGCAAAATATGTTATTTGTATAGCTGTCTGTAACTTTGCTTTGATTCTAAAATTTGTTTTCGACTACTCATATAAATAATTGCATAATTTCTTAAATATTAAATGTACCATTCGCAAAGTCCTTATGATTTTATATTTGTCTCGAATAGTGACTTGGTCTGAGTCCTGATGATGTAGGACAACCATTTTCGAATGCTTGCATATTAAGGTAACATGCCACAAGTAATAAATTTTATCCTTCCAATACTCCTAGGCACAAAGCTATATTACCAAATAGTATTATAGCGATTTGTTGAAGTGGCCTTATTTTTGAGTTAAACCTTCCCACATTTTTTCCTTTGTTTTTATTCTTCCTTTGGATGCTCTTTATTTACATCACTGCCTCGAAATTCAGCTATATGTACCTGACCCAAATCAACCAGGCGATGGCTTATAAGGCGCACATTAATCGTTTGATGCGCCATCGATGCCGCCTGATTGGTCTCAACTCAACTGATCCAGGCTCCATTAGCGGAACTGGGCTTTCTATGGGCGCCATGTACTGGCAGCTGAACGATGTCTGGTCAGCACCCACTTGGTCGACTTTAGATGCCACTGGACAGTGGAAGATGGCGCATTACCAGGTAAGAGGAAGTGGTTTACCGAGGTATAAACTAACTTCACCAATAAGATCTAATTGACATGTATTTTCACGCTTTGACAAATTTCTACCTTTTTTGTGCTCTAGCTATAGTTTACGCTCAATATCCAGATTTTTTAAATTATCTTATCTGCTTTCCTTTAACCTAGAAGGCCAATCTAGCTGGAGATCTAACTACTGAACGCAACACTTATAACAGACTCCCACAAAACTGTCAACTTATGATAAAGCTCTAAACGATAATACTCACCCTTGTTCTGGAAATGTTGATCAGTCTGCCATATTGTTACGCTGTCCTCCCCTAAATCTTATCACAGTCTCTCTCTTGCCCCGTAAGATCCGTCTGCTGTCTCCTTGGTTCAAGTATTTCACTCGACCACTGCCACCCCATCTGTGCTACTCGAGGCATTATCACCCCTCTTCTGCGCCTGGGTGGTGAATTCGAAGCTAAGGCCTTTGAGTAAGTCTCATC